GTATCTGTATTGAATTTTTGCATAAAAAATGTCAATATACGAGGGCGGTTTGATAAGTCAGTGACTTTTTGAATAAAACAATTTATTTTTCGGCAAATAAACATTTTATTTTTCTACATAATCACCTTTTAGCTCGATACATTTAGTCCAGCGTCTTTCTAATTTTCTTATTCCCTCCAAATAATAGGTTTTCTCAAAGCTCTTAAAATACGCGTTTGTTTCGGTAATGACTTCTTCATTCGACTTCATTCGAGTCGCAGGGGACTAAATCTGGAGAATATGCTGGATGGGGTAGCAGTTCGTATCCCAATTCGTGGATTTTGGCCAATAAAGCTTAATCAGCACACGAAATTCACTTTTTTCCATTTTCGTAAAAGTTCACGAGGTTGTCTGCTTTGAACGGCTATCAAACACCAACTGAACGACGTAGCTTGCTCAAAATTAAAAAGTTGACCACTGGTAGATAACAGTTAACGGCAGCACTGTTGCATTTGGAGTAACTGCGCGGAAAATTCAAAAAGTCACTGACTTATCAAACCGCCTTCGTATGTATAATTAATTAATAATTGAATTTTAAATGATTTCGATGCAATTAAAATCTTTCCAAAATCATTCTAACTATTCTAAAAATACACTCACTGCTTACTAAATTATTTGCGAATCCATTTTAAATGAGGATTATTTTATTTATAAAATGGTTTTTAGTAAAGCGGATATAAACAAATAGAGGTACATTTCTGTGTACTAATTTAGAAAAGCTGTACAAATAAGATAATTTTTTCAAAATCCCAAATCAAATGTCAAAGCTTTTCAATTTAATAAATAACGATTAAAAAAGAAATTCATTAAAAAATATTTAAAATGGTAAAGTATTTGATATTTAAGCTGTGTAATTTGTATCCGAGCTCTGAAGTATTCGATTTCCTTACACTACCTAAATGCGGTTACTACGATTAGCATTCGACATTCGCAGATTACCAACCTTTACGGCGACTGCAGTGAGAAGTTGAAAAAACATATGATAAAGTACCCATGCATCCTTCAGAAATAAATACTCATGAAAAAAAGTGAAAAAGGATGTGGCATTGTGGCTATGTGGCTATGTGGTTATGTGGAAACGGAAGCATTGCAAGTTATAAATGATGCGCTGCCACTGTTGCCCTTAGCATCAGGGATAAGCGTAAAGTGCTCCGGTTGTTCCTGTCAGAGCTGGTGTTATTTTTAAAAGCTTTTTGTATATTTTTCACACATTCTGCCATAAAATTGCATAAAAGGTACGCATAATCCCTTTACTGAGTGGCATCAAAAATAAAAAATTTTAATAAAATACATTTAATGTTGCAAGAGCAGCATTTTTTACAGTGCCGTCTGTTGATGGTAAATAAAGAAAATTATTCAGTTAAAAGGCTTTTTATGAAAAAAGTAGTTTTATTTTTAATTGTTAATAAAATTATCCTTAAAGCTTTTTTCATGTTGCAAATACGGTACAACGGATACTTCGCTGTTATGTAGCTTTCCCGCAATCAGCATGAAAGTACGTGGTATATACGAATACACACTATCATTTGTCTGTCCTTATAGAGGTTCCAATACAAACTGAAATTGGTCAGTTGTATGCCATCAACAGTAAAGTTCCCATAAATTATTTAACTCTGATACACTGAGTGAATTTTAAAAGGATATATATAGTTATCATCTTTGCAATTCGAGTACTATTCGACTGCAGGAACACACTCCTGCACTGTCACCTAAAACAAGAACACTTATTGGTTACAAGAACAGTTATTTTTATTACACCGGCAATCCTGCATAAACTTTATGCAAATACATTTTACGTGGTATCTCCCACTTTCGCATAAAAGGTGTTTATGTTATATGCAAAACTGTATGGAACAGCTTACAACACTACGCTAGTGTTGGTTCCTGAATCACTCTGGGATTAGGAGTTTTGCATCGAGTCTGGAGAAAATGCAAATTCCACTTACTTTATCCTTTTTATTTAGAAACAAAAATGTATAAATATAAATTGGAATTATGGTATTCATACGCTTATAAAAAATATTGATAAGTTTTATGACGTCAATATTACAATATTCTCATCCAAATGGTATATTTACGTCTTTTCTTTAAAGAAAATTTAAATTACTTTTAATAGACACATGCAATTGATGTTCTATAAAATGTTAAAAATTTATAAATAAATATTAAAACAGATAAATATCAAGTATGAGGGAAAGAAAAATTTTTTATTATATGAAGTTGCTACTGTGCTAAGGATTCGAATAAAGTGCAAAACTATAAGTTCATAGAATCAAAGAAAGAAAAAATAAATTTATCCTAGTCAAACCGCGTGGATGGAAGAGCAAAAAAAAGCTATGGAATAGGGTCGATTGTCTGTCAGAAGCATAGAAAAGTAATTAGGTATAGGCTATGTGACTGAACCACAAAAACTGCAGTAGTAACAAAGAACGATGAAAGGAGCAGTTTACTCCTTAGTAAAGTAAAGTAAGAGGCATTACTGAGAACAAATCACAAAGAATAATGCTAGCGCATTTATAGTCAGAAGGATTTAGTAGCGGTATTATGTACCACTGGGCAGGTCAAAGTAAGTAACGTATATAGAAATAATCTTTACTATAAACCAGAAAAGTGGTAAATTCTTTAGCATAAGATACGAGGGCGGTTTGATAAGTCAGTGACTTTTTGAATTTTCCGCGCAGTTACTCCAAATGCGACAGTGCTGCCCTCAGCTGTAATCCATCAGGGGTCAACTTTTAATTTTGAGCAAGCTACGACGTTCAGTTGGTGTTTGATAGCCGTTCAAAGCAGACAACCTTGTGAATTTTTACGAAAATGGAAAAAAGTGAATTTCGTGTCCTGCTTAAGCTTTATTGGCCAAAATCCACGAATTGGGATACGAACTGCTATCCCATCCAGCATATTCTCTAGATTTAGCTCCCTGCGTCTATTTTCTGTTTCCAAACCTAAAGAAATGGCTGGGCGGTAAGAGATTTGAGAGATTTGTATGAAGAAGTCATTACCGAAACAAACGCGTATTTTGAGAGCTTTGAGAAAACCTGTTATTTGGAGGGAATAAGAAAATTAGAAAGACGCTGGACTAAATATATCGAGCTAAAAGGTGATTATGTAGAAAAATAAAATGTTTATTTGCCGTAAAAAATTTGTTTTATTCAAAAAGTCCCTGACTTATCAAACCGTTGTACTCAAACAGTTGGATCGTTAAGTTGGTGGCGAAGTAAGTTGGTTATAGCCTAAAACAAACTTGCTTAATGCTAGCCAAACAAATTTAAATGTCAGAAAAGAACAAGTAAAATAAAAGTGGAGCTAAGAAGAAACCATGAGGAACGCTAGCAATGATAAAGAAATTACGACAGGAGGAGGAAACAATTTAAACTTAAGATATCCTCACAAATAGAATAAGGATTGCAACATTCTACTTAATGGGGTCACAGAACCAACAGATCTTGTAAACTAAACCCTTAAGCCAAACGATTTCGAACGCCATTATCAAAACTTACTGTCGCGGATTAAACGTATTGGAAGCTAACTCAAATATATGATTTAAAATATCGTTTTTTTTTTAAGAAGTAATATTTTGAGGAAGATAAAAATTTTCTTTTTCTTATTCATAAGTTCTCTGAAGACACAAAATTCGTAACTATTAAAATAAAAAATTTTTGCTAACCCATTAAAAATTCAATTTTTGGTAGAGACCCCCAGATGTCTACTAGGAAAAATGATTGAGCGATTTACGATTTCAAAAAATTGGAACCACATTTCAGCGGTATATAAGACACTACGAATTCGTTTCTATTGAAATTTATTTTTACTTTTATATGATGCTAATGCTGTAGTCCTGTAAGGCTTAAGCATAGATTATATTTTATGCTCCATCAAAATGACTATAATCAGATTGATGTGTCCGCTTTCAACTATATAATATATGAATCAAAACATTCCAATTTTGTTATCGAGTCTTCTCACCACCGGACGCATTCTAGTGTTACTTCGGGAAGAGTTTTTGACCGTCAGTGCTATGTCTTTCTTACATAACATGTGTTTAGGTCTCCATGCCATTTGTCTTTGTTGTTTTAAACTTGTTCTCAAATAATTATTTCAGAAAACTTATAAGTATAAGAAATAATTTTAAAGAACCATAAAGTAGGGTCGTGTAATATTGTTTACACTTTAAAGATAACAGAAAGCCGTGTCTTTATGATTTTACACAAAAATTTAAGTTTGAGTAAGCTGCACACAAATGCAACAAATCAAAATTCTATGAAAACTATGTTCAAATTAAATTAATAACGCTTTGAACTGTTTACTTACATACTGTATTTTCCAGATCTGAACTTTGGTGACGCACTAGAATTATCAATGAAGCCACTTAGGTTAGGCTAGGTTAAATTGGCGATTTAAAGAGATCCACTTAAGTCTATTGGTCCATTGTGCTGTCGTAAAATGAAAAATCCTAGGCTTTAAAACCACCTTTGGCGAACTTACTTTGCACAGACTAAATAAATTTCTTGATATTCAATTCAATTTAAAATTCTTTTGAAGTCACTGCAACACAGAAGTTTCATCACTCCTTCAAACAGAAGACCCCGTACGATGGCTCAAGAGAACCAAACCGTCTGATTTAACTAATTCAATTTGATATTTATCATCATACTAATATATTACAGATAAGCATTAATATCGACTATTTTAAGTTCCCAATGTAAAAATATTGCTAATTAGCTTTACACTTAACTAAGAGCAATCGAATAAAATAAAAAATATTACAAATAAAAAAATTTTAGATATTGAATGTAAAAATGATACTTTATTAAAATATAAATAAATTTCTATTGTTTACCATTTTAATTCCATGAGAAATAGGCATGCGCCAACAGAAGATACGCACTAGCGACAAGTAGTCCTATAACAGTTACGGGAAATCCAACAACAAAGAAATTATAAAATGTGAAAGTATAACCTCTTTTCTCTGCCATTCCAGCTACGATTACATTAGGATAAGCTGCAATTAAAGAACCGTTACTTCCCAAAATACAACCCAGCGCCATGGCCCATATCAGTGGTTTAACATCTACATCAATGCTCATATTATCGGATATATTTATAACAAGTTTAATCATTACCGTAGACACAGGCTTGTTATTTAGTATAGCCGATCCTAGCCCAGAAACCCATAGCAAAATAAGTATGCTTACCCATAACCTGTGTTCCTCATCTAAATTCATAATGGTTTGTTGAGTTCGAATTTGTAAAAAATCGAATAGACCCATCATAGAAAGCGCACGAGTAAAGACGAAAAACGCTGCAAAAAATATAATTGTTGTCCACTCAATTCGATGTAAAATACTTTCAAGATCTTCTCTATCGATTAAAATGAGTATTAATATAGCTCCTAGCATTGTTGTCCAACCCACGGTTAAATAAAAATTTTGAGCAAATCTGCTGAGTGACAATGCCATGACAAAGAAGAGCACGCAGCAACATTGAGCTAACAGCACGTTATTGTGGATACGATATTTTGTCTGATATGACTCTAAAATTTCTTCATAGTTTTTTGGTGGCTGCGGCATTTTTCCGAGCCTTCGAAGTTGATGACGCAATGTGTGTACCTTATTTATAACAACAGATTTCATAGCAGATTCATCCTTAGAATATTCACTTATACCCTTAGCAGTATGTTTCATTAGCTTTATTACACGTCTTAAGCGTTCAACTTCTGCATTCTCTTTAAATTGCATTTTGGCAGAGTTAATAAACATTATTCGTAAGTACATATAGCTTACTGCCATTGCCAGTAATATTCCTACTAGAAGATGAGCTATAAAAGTTAATTCAGTAATACCCATTTCTTCAAAGAACTCCTTTTCAGATTTGAAACCACCTGAATTGACACCATAAGGCATAATAGCTCCTGACAAATTCGTTACTATAATAACACACTTCAAAAATGGTAACGGATTCAACTGCATTAATTCCGTAAGGCGTAAAACGATTGGACAGATAAGCATTACTGTAGTTACGCTATCCCAACATAAGTTCGAAAAAAGCAGAAGCAGGCAGGTGCAGTTTATAAGTGGCCAAATATGTCCATTCGATAACTTATAAGCCCACAAAGCCAAATAGTCATGTATGCCAGTTTCTGCAAATATTCCGACAATTATGCCCATGCTAAAGATCAACATCATAGTTTCCACGTCAATCCACTCCATAATAAATTCCAGACTTGGACGTTTGTGAAAGTAGGCTAGCACACCAATAGCCATTGTACTAGATATCATTGCAGTCAAAGTACGATTTAGAGGTTGAGTAAACAACAAAATAGTTGTAAATAATAGTATCCCACCTGCGCACATGACCCCCACATTAACACCAACTGCATTGGACTGGTACTGCAGCGACAATGGAAGTGGTAATTTCAATTTTGTTTCGAATCTAATCAGCAGCTGTCCCTTCTTACCATGGATTTCAGAGTGCAAAGCAAATACATGCATACGTTTTTGTACAGGCGCTGACTCTATCAGCTCTGCTTTAACAATTTCCAAATACCATTCGTCTGAAACACTTACTATTTCAGACTCATCATTCAAATACATTACACCAATAGTAAGTATATGTTCAGTATCTTCCAAATCTTCTTCTCTTTCTTTTGAATGTTTCTGAAATGGTCCACGTACAACAACTTCAACGGCATCATCGCCACTCCCTTTCGGCATGTAAAAATCTCTTGTGCTATTTTCTGGCACATAAATGACTGCATTTGAAAGAACCACATCAGGTTGTTTCCACAATAGTGCAGTAAATAACACCCAATACAAAACAAGGAGACATATTTTCAGCCAACGTAGTATTTTGCGTAATTTTCTTTTGTAAGGTTTATCCGAGGTACGCACATCTTCTTCGACATCTTCGTCAGCATCAATATCTTCAATAGCTGACTCTGTTGAACCTCTTTCTAATCCAGCGCCACCTTCAGATCTTATACTTTCAGTTGTAAATCGCAATGAATTTTTTAAAGCTTCAATGGAGAAATCGACAAATTCATTCTCTTCAGGATGCGTTTCTTCCATGGATATCTTTCTTTAGCAAAATCAAATATTTGCATAACAGAATTTATGCAAAAAGTATAAATTATACAAGAAACTTTCATTTAACTTTCATTTAACAAACTTTTCATAAATTTAATTAAAAACTTAAAAATTATTTTGAATTATTTAATTTGACATTAAAATCGTTTTATACCATTTTCATGATTATAAATTAAGATAATATCGATTTATAACAATGTTTACAGCACAGTGAAAGAGACACCTTATACAATATTAGCTGTAAATTGTTGTAATCAAAAGACAAGATGAATCAATTTGTCGATATCCGCCTCACCTACTGATGATAACCTAACTAAAATCTCTCTGCTAACATACAAAACTGCGAAAACTTCTATGAAGTAGGATATTAGATACCTTGGACTCATAATGAACCCAAAACTTAACTGTAAACTTGATATTAAGGATTGACTAAGAAAATGTGTAATTCGTAACTCTTCACTCTGCTATTCTAAATAACTGGAATGGTTGTAACAGTGTTAAGCACCTTATAACGAGAATTGTGTCTAGAAGTGAGTGGGTTGCACTAATGCCACTAGGAAGAGGAAAGCTAAATTTTAATTTGAAGGCCAGTAAAAAAAAGAATCAGCTTTAAGGTTTTCATAAAGGTCATAATACTAGAAATATATACCTGTCTTCCTAAACTCTGTAGTGTTTATTAAGTAGAGAGTCAGAATTACTTGCTGTCTACTGGAGTAAAGATGGTTTAAAAGGAACAATAATATATATAGGTATACGCGGATATTCAGGTTATCATTATATCAGTAAATTCGGTAGTATTAAATTCAAAGGTTGCTCATGATTACTAAACATATCAGCACCATTTATGGGTATGGCTTATAAGATACGCAGGACATAACAAAACTGTGGTAAAATGTAGCGCCGAATGCGAATTTTCCCTCGGCATAAATAGAAGCCATAGATAGATAAATAGAATCCTATTTATAAATTATTTTTGCAGAACAGTATCAGTAGTGACAAACGAACTAGCTTTATATCTCAGTTAAGATGCCCAAAACTTGGGAGAAAAAAACTAATAGATGTTCTCAGTCCATGAAGTGAGAGGATATATCTAAGGTTATGACTTCTATAATTGCGATTTGGTCACTGGCTATTTGGTGGACATTCTCTTTGGCTAAAGTTTTTCTTTTATATATATTATAAATGTTATGAAGATAAGGAGCAAATGGAAAATGCTACTACTGCCCAACTCTAGCTAGAAGCAAAATAAAGCTTTTGGGAAATCATATTTTTAGTTACTTCAGAGAAATGTCCAAAACCATGATTAATGTCATGGAGATGAGGATAAGGAAGAAATTGCTATTGCTGACAAGTTATAGCGAAACGCAGGACGAACTTTTTGCATGATTATGTCTTAAGTTTTTTTAGAGAAATGTAAAGCACTATGATTAAAGTCTACTGCTTACTTCTATCGAGAAACCGAATAAAGTTTTTGGTCTATTATGTCTTTAGTTCTTTAAGAGAAATGTCCAACAGCATGATTAATGTCTTGGAGATGATGAAAAAAGAGAAAACAGCTGCAACTACTTAGCTCTAGCGAGATACAAAGTAAACTTTTTGGATAAAAATTTCTTGGATCTCTGTCAGTATCCAGTACTATTAAGGTCAAATACAACTAAGGTCTCATAGAGAAATCACAATAAAACGTATTCTAGTACGATATATGTTCGCATATATATGTTGTATTCATATAATTTTGTCAAAAGATATATAATTTTGATGTCATGTCAAGAACCCAACTAGGTAGTGTTGTTATATATTAGTTTTTAAGTACAACGCGAACAGCTAACACATTCCCCATGTATAAGAATACAAATATTGGGCTTCCATAGTCTTCCTTTGAGATAGAGAACCATAAACTTTTTAAAGCAGAAATTAGTTACTCAATATGTTATAAATATATAATAAAAAAAAAATTAAATTTGATTTCAGCGTCAATTATAACGGCGTCATAATGGCTTTACAGACAGTATAGCCTTAAGAAATTATTTACGAATAACTAAATATAAGAAATAATTTCAAGACCTTTGATGATGCGTGTTAGGCAATACTCGAAATAGTTGTATTCCAGTCAGCTAAAAATATAAATAATTAAAGAAAATAAATATTTATTTTTATTATTGCAATTCAGAACTGTTCCAAACGTTTCGATAAAAAATTATATATGACATTAAATATACTTAAGTCTTATAGTGAAAAATTATCAAAAATTGCTCACCACTTCAAATCAGTTTCAATAACTCCTCGATAAAAAATTTCAGCAACTTATCACAAAATCATCTCAAAGGGCTTGTAAGATTTGTTTAATGAAATACTTCTCGTCTTATTTACTTAATTAATTAATAAATTAATGACAAATAGTATTTATATCGAAACAAGATATTTATCTGTATCTCATTGGAATGTATCTGTATGTATGAGATCTGTTAAAAAAATATTATTATATCGTGAGTTCCACTACTTTATTTATACTTATATGATATTAGCCGTATTTTTTTAAAGCTTAAGCTAAAAGCAATGCAACTGTATTAACATCCTGCCATTTAATTACTCTTGCTTTTAATGGATAAAGTTTGTCAGTAAAAAATTAAATTATTTTTAAATTGCAAACTTTTAATTACAAAATCAACATGAAAACTCACTGAATAATTGCAAAAGTTTACAAAAAATAAAAATCAAAAGTATAAGTTTTAATTATTTGAAAAACATTAAGCATTTTATTGTAATAATAGATTAACGTATGACAAAGTTAACACTGCACGAGGTGACAAAGAAGAAGAGATTATTAGGACTTGAGTTACGGCAAATATGGTTTTGTGGTTTACGTGGCTTAAAATTTCATATAAAATTTATTTATTGAATTTTATTTATTAAAGTTACTCTCTACTATTTGTTAAGGAAAATTTTTTATGGGTGTGTTTAAGTTGAAAGTTTCTATCTCAATTTTTATGGTTAGTTACTGTGGTTGACCAATAACAATTTTTTCATTTCTCATTATTAGCATTTATTTGTCATTTTGAAAGCATCAAAAGCCACAGTGTGAGACTTGAACCCATTAAAATCACCTCTTTGCTGTTAATGGAGAAGATTTCCACAGCAATATAGAAACTTTATTCCAGTAATCAGGGGGAGAGATACGAGAAAGATGCTTAATACCTAGTGAACTAGGTTTATCTAAGTCAAAAAGCATGAGCGTGGCGCAATAGTAGTTTAGAAGTAGGTGGAGGGGACGGGATTGCAGATTGTGCGCGAGCACAAGGAGATTGGGCTAGCGATAGACTTTGTTACCAAGTTCACGATAGTTGCGGTTATGAAGAGGAATCATAGGGGCATCAGAGAAAAATTATGATTTAAAATATTATAAAATTTGTCCCGTTGTTTATTGTAATTGTTATTTTTTTCTTTTGTTATTTTAGGAATAAGAGATGATGTAGCACTGCAACCATCGGAGGCATTGTACCCACTTCTGAGATTGAAGGTTTAGAAACAGCGTCAATAAAAAATAATTTAGAACCTACTTTGTTGAGTTTTATTGCCTCTTCCGTAAGGATATAACTTGTAACTTTTTAAACCTTTCTGAGCTATCTTTCATAATATGAAGATTTTGTTGTTGTTTTTCAATGAAATAGAGCTATGTTTTAAAATATACTGCATTCTTATAGAAATTCTCATAATTTAGGTTAGCGAACTGAATCTATTAGTAACTTTAAATGTATTGGGTAAACCGTTTTCAATGATAGAATCATTTGCCGACAATTCTACAATATGATTAAATATAGACTTACATTTTACCATACATTTCATCATTTTAGTCTCATCGTAGAAATGTACATGCTAACAGTTAGGAAACTGTGTTGTATTTTGTTAAGAAACTAGGTATTTGTACTCTTCTCAGTTAAAATAGTTGTCGATATAAATTTGTTAATTGTGTTACAGGCTGCCCTACTTAGCACTATCTAATTTCAGAGTAATCACTAACCGCATGGGGCGGTACGCAGATCTTAAATTAATCATTAAATAATCACGAAGATTATCAGAAATACTTAGATTAGTCAGTGAGATGGGCGGGTCTCTGCAGAATTCCCCTAGCTATCATAGAGTAAAAGTACACAGATGCACTAACTCGAAAAAGGCTTAACACAAGTATTTATACTTATATCAATTTCGATGCAGATTCGTTTAGAAAGCAATGTTACTAGAATATGATATGATTGACGTATTATATAGTAAAAACGATGTAGAATCAGAATTTTGTAGAAAAAGCAACTACATATAGAAGTAACACTTAATAGTAATGCTTAATTATTTTTCTTAATTTTTTTTATATCATTATTTATAATGTATATATAATTAACTTTCCTACAGACGGCCTAAAGCCATGTCATTTCTTATTTAATTATATTTTTAATTTTTTGTACTCGAAAACTAAAAAGTTTTGGGAACCTTAATTTTTAGTTTTGAAATTCTATAAAAAGAGGAAAGAGAAAATATGTAATATATATATATATATATAAATTTATATTGATATAGATAGATATATAGACAATATATATAATTTATGTATAATTATTTCTTATATTAATTTTACACTTATTTTAAAAACATTATTGAGTTCAAGAATGCATTGATTTCTCATTTCCTGACTCGCAGACAATATATATGTATATACTGAATTGAATATATATATTCATAAAAACAATTAATTTGCACTTAAATTTTAATCAACTGAAGTTATAAAACAATTTAATTTCTCTTACTAAGTAGATAATTACTTAAAATCTATAAATAATGATCACAAATTGTGGAAAATGTGTATTTATATTAAATAAAATACAGCTAATCTGATAAATGTCTGCAAAAAAAAAAATTTAAATACAAAATAATTACTGTAAGCAATTATGACTGTTGATTTTTTCAAAAAAATTTTTTTTAATTTATATTTGGCAATATAAGTTGAACTTAAAAGAATATCTGGGCTCACTGCTCGTATTAATGTTCAAGTAAAAATGCGGTCACAAATATTTTCTTTGAAAAACGTAATAATTTTTTTATGGCTTCTGGGAAAGGTAAAAATTGAAATAAAAAATAAATTATATAAATATATTAAATAAAAATCTAATATCTTTCACAGGCTTTTTCATATATTGAATTCTCAAATGTCGTCTGTACTTCCCTTGATAAGGAGTTCACTGATTTTGACTATTGTTACTTAAAGGCTATAAATCGTTCATATAAATACATTTCCGTAAAGGTAAAGTTATATGTGTTACCAATAACAAATGTGACGGTAAGTTTTGTTATTTTATAATATTATTTCAAGATATAGAACAATATTTTGTTCTTCTTTCCACAAAAATATAGGTAAGGTACGCTTTATTAAAAAAAGCAAATGGTTACAAACCTTTTTTGTACAATAAAACGATTAATGCTTGCAGTTTTCTAAAGAATCGTAAACATCCAGTACATATATTCATGCACGATCTAATCAAAGAACGTTCAAATATGAACCATACTTGCCCGTTCGATGTAAGTTTCGGATTGCCTTAATGCAATCAAAAAATAAAATATTTATATAAATTTTTTTAGCATGACTTAATTATCGATAAACTGGATTCCCAATACTTTAATGATAAGCTTATGCTTCTACCATTTCCGCCTGGAGAATATGCAATATTTACAACATGGAGTGCTTATAATATTCCACGAGCTAATTTTAATGTGTATGTAAGAGTGCCCTAAACAGACACATCCAGTGATCCAGCAAAAAATCTTATAGTGCATATTAAAATATTGTTCTTTCCAATAATAAATACCTCAAAATACGAGTATTTCGGGAACTAAAATAAATTAATTTAATTTGAAACTTCTTAATAATTATGAAGTGAGGCCAAGACTTTCGACAACCGACGAAAGCAGCCTCTATATGGAAGACGTCCTTACAATATCCTTACAGAGATACTCTTAGAGATACTATTGTATATTATAGGAGAAGCTCATTTCACAAAGAATTGGTTCATGAATCAAAATGGTCAATCATCGATTTGGAAAAGATTTAAACTTTTCTGAACACAGCTAAAATGAAAGAAATCCTTCGATAAAAGGATGCAGGGTAGAGTAGGGTAGGATGCAGTTGCTGCTATGAATAGATTACATGAATAGGATTACATTTTATGGGGCTTTTTTAAGTCATAGGTTTATGCTGACAATCCTGTTAATTTTTTTTTTTTTAAATACTCATACATTTATTTATCGTATCTTCTTTTACAATGAGACTAACCATAATTTTAAAATCTAATCACTAATTGTATAATATTATAATTTTTATTTTAACTAAACATTGTATAAAATAAAATAAAATAAAATAAAATAAAATAAAATAAAATAAAATAAAATAAAATAAAATTAAATAAAATTAAATAAAATTAAATAAAATAAAATAAAATAAAATAAAATTAAATTAAATTAAATTAAATTAAATAAAATGAAATAAAATTAATTAACCTTATATCACGAACCTTGTTTAGATCAATGGGTTAAAATTCATTGGAGTGAATGTTAGGTGGTGGCAGATTACTAAACAGAAAGGTGCGGTTTTTACTTCAAGCTATTGAATATTAATTAATGGCTGGATGGTGGATAGAAGTGCGAGATTCCTGGCTAAGAATTTACATATTCTGTCAGCCTTTTATTGTATTTTTTTTTTGTTGTCAAATTCAGCTTTAATTAGAGAAATTTGTAGATCTCGGTGGATACTGTCATTCCTAATATACCATGGCGCACAAGTGATTGTTCTCAAATTTTAATATTTGAAGTAGTAGCATTACCAAATAGCTGGATACCATAAGACCACATTGGTTTTATGGTGCTGTTAGAAAAGAGTATTTTATACTATAAGCACAGGGAAGATTAGTATTAATGATTATTTCTGAACTGAAATTAATTTGATAATAATAACAAAAAATAAGCTAATATAGCTATAACTAAGTTGACGTCCATATATGTCATTTCCAATTAAATTTGCTTGTAATGTTAATTATCTTATCAAATTAAAATCACCTTTGAATTACGTTTGTATCGACTTATATATAATTTTTATATACTAAAAGTGCTGTTTATTATCGCTTTAAGTAGACATACAAGCACTACTTAAAATGCATGCTTCGTTCTTTCAATATTTACAGTAAATTTAGATAAATTCAATTGAATATTCTTATCTGATTGTATTACCGAAAGTACTAGTTGAAAGTTAGGTTGCAAAAACATTAATTAGTATTATGTACGTGTTATAAGCTAATCATAATAATTTTATATAATATAACTAAAAACCCAAATCCAACTATATTTAGATAATATAAAATATTTTTAATTAATAATATTTTAACCTACATCTAACGTATTTATAACAATAGTTAGTTATCATTCTGGTTTAGTTTATATTATTAAATCTTTTGAATAAAATTCATTGGAAATGTAATATACTCATTATCACAATTTGATGCTCTACTTCAAATACATTAAACCACAAATTCTCAAAATTGTGCAGTAAACATAATTGCGTTGTAATGTTGTAGTTAACATCAAATCAGATGAACTTTAATGTCACCAAATGCCATTTCAGAGGAGCTCGAAAGAAGCACACGCAACCTCGTTCTTTAAAGGTTACAAACATGAGGTTTTGTCCTACAATTTTCAGAAAGAAAAAAATACAAAAATAGAAACAAAATATGGAAAAATGTTGCTACGTTATTTCAACAAGCGACATTGTCATTTAACGACTAAAAAACCAGTAAATGTTGTAGCTCTTTCCTAACTTTAAATATTTTGTATCCAATTAAAAGTTTTGAGGTATCACTAAAACAAAACAACACTACTTCCACATAAAACATTTTAGTAGTAATTTGTTGATTACACTTAACTTCAAGCAATTTGAAAAAAAATCCTTGCTTCTAAGTATCCGTTCACCATAAGAGCAGCTTCGTCCTAGCGGATGCTTTCGCTAGAATACAAAATATTTTAGCGTAATTTTGTATTTTTATGAGAAAACCAAAATGTCAAGTCCAAAATCGATACCTTCAAGTTTATGTGTGCTGAAAACTAAGTTGTTTTCGTTACTAGTGGATATTTACTTAAGACATTGACAACAGATATATTTTTAAACGTTTGACTTTTTAAACGCTTAAATATTCTGAAACACAAAAATCTAAATCTAATCTAAATTTAATTTAATCTAATAAATTTCTATACGGTTAATAATAAAATATAACAAAACTATAAAGAAAACAAAAGTTTAAATGAATTGTGTGGTGTTAAACTCACTTCGCAAGCCGTAGTTAGACACTATATATTACCTTATTGAAACATTTCTTACTCCCCTTCCAACTCGTGACAGTAAGTTACAGTACATGGAGCACATAACAATAAACCAAAATTAGCTCAAGCTGAAGTAATAGTTATAGGAATGAACTGCAATGTTTAACCAAATACTAATATCAATATGGTCTTATGGTGTACAAATTTGGGACTGTGCTAATCAATGCAAACTCACAATAAGAGGCGCAGTCTCAAGAATGATAGGCCTAGAACCGTTCTGTGGTCTAGGCAAAGGAACTCTATGTATTTCTAAGAATGGTGCAGAGGAAATAGAAAGAGAACTCTGTTGGGAAAGAATACCAGGACTTTCACAGTTTAAAATGCTGTTAGGGACTTACAACCTAAAACGCTTTAAAGATTGCAAATCACAATCAAAAAAACCTAAAAATTATTACGAGATTATTGACCGATCACTGTAGATTGAATAATCACCTATCGAAATTAGGAATTCAATCCAACTCAGACTACAGATACTGTAGAGAAAAGAGAGACACTGCATACCATGTGCTTGGGGAGTGTCCGGCACTGATGCACAAGCGGAAGAAACACCTAGGAGGGTATTTCATGGATCATAAAGATATACTGTCTTTCATTAAAGAAATCGGACTTGGAGAAACACGCTAACCCGAGTAAGGGTTAGAGCGCAATAGCTCTTTTAGGTCGCAGTGCACAATCCCTTCTTTTAATAATAATAATATTTAATGCAATATCAATATAAATTTATGGCTTCAAAAAAAATCCTACGAAATAGTTCAAACGCCATATGGTATGTTCATCAAATCGTTATTCACCAAGACGCTGATCTCAACAGTTGCAAGGGAAATTCTCAAAAGGACGATTCTCAATAACACACGTCTACTTCAACGACTTCATCGAAAGAAGCCACATAATTTAATTGTCATTTCTCTTACAAATACTACTCTTTAGTTTTCTTGTAACTAGTTGTAGTATTAACAAAGATAGTTATCTACATATTTTCTATAATGCACAAAAACAATTATTAAATAATGTAGTTTATATTATATATACAGATGCTAAAAAAATCTTATTTAGTTTTTCTTTACCCTCAAAGTATGCAATGAATTTAAAATAAATATACTGTTGATTTTCGTAATGCAATCAGAATAAGAATCTTTAATTGAATGTATATATTTTGAATTGTGCTTATATGTATCAATAAAACAATAACAAAGAGCACATTTACAGATTTATGAAGAAAATATCTATACATAATGCTATACAAACGTAACTGTAAATGTATTTTAATTTGATTAATATAACTTAGATATAACTTTTGTAATAGAAGATGGCTGTTGTGAATATCAATTTATTAGATATACCATAATTATGTTAAGTTTTATTTATTAAAAGATTGTTAAAAATAAAAACTTTATAAATAAAGTACCGTCTAATAGAAAAATTTCCACGTATATGGCGTAATTTCGATTTACACTTAAAGAAAGAAAAGGAGAACTAGAGAAATCTGTACTGAAACAATTGATCAGGGCTATCACAATCGATATAATTTATTGAAACTGTCAACAGCAAACGATTACCAAAATCCAAGCAGTATACTTTGTGTTAATCTCTCACCTTACAAAAGTAAGAACTTACTCTTATGATAAATTAAGTTTTATAGGGAAGAGATTAAAACTTTAAAATATGTGCTAGAGGCATGAGAGCTTGACCGGCATTGATGCATAAACACGAGTGAACCTGGGGCTCTCAAATCGAGTGAAGCAATAGAATTCTGTAATATATATTAATTAATACTACAATTTATAAAGGAAGTTGGTCTTGGAGAAGTGCAAGTTGCTCAACAGATCTTTATATTTTAACACATGTATAATATTATATATATATTATATTATTAATATTTAAATTACAGGATAGGCAGAAAATCTCTTTATCGCAATGCAATGTTCCCCAACATAATAATAATATAGTGTGAAAACATAAACACTGCTACAGAGATATGTGTTATATAGTGTACCAGTTGGAGTAACTCAAATAGATTTTTTCCCAGAACCCGAAAAAATCATAAAATTTATAGTTTGGAACGGAAATGTTTGTATTGATAGTGACCTTCGGCTGTGGCTTTTTTCACTTCACAGTTCTTAGGGAAACACACTATAATATGTGGTAGTCATTTTAAAAGTAGCTGAGATTAATTAGTCAAACATTAAAAATCAAACAACAGCTTATGTTGTTGTTATATACTCTGAAACTCAAATTAGTTTAATGATAATAACAATAAATTAGTAAACATAATTATATTTAAGTTGACGTCTATAGATGTCATTTTCAATTAAAGAAGTTTATAATGTAAATTGTCTTATCAAATTAAAATCACCTTCGAGGGACATTTG